GGTGTTTGGGACCAGTGTGGGCAACATAGGGAGGTACCATCTCTACAAAAAATTGAAAAATTAGCCAGGTGTGGTATTGAACACCTGTGGTCCCAGCTACTTGGGAGGGTGAGATGGGAAGGATTGCTTGGGCCAAGGTGTTGAGACTATAGTGAACCATGATTGATCTGTACTCCATCCTGGACTGGTCAACAGAGTGAGACCCTGTCTCAAAAAAAATAAATGAATAAAACCAAGAACACCCCTGTACAATTCTGTGATTTTTAGTATATTCAGAGAGTTGTTCAACCATTTCCGCCCACCTCAGCCTCCTAAAGTGCTGGAATAACGGGCAGGAGCTGCTGTACCCATCCTGTTTTCTGTCTTTTTGCATTTGCCTATTCTGGACGTTTCATATAAATACCATCATACAATAGATGACCTTTTGAGTTTGGCTCCTTTTTTTTTTTTCTGAGATGGAGTTTCACTCTTGTTGCCCGGGCTGGAATGCAGTGGCGGGATCTCAGCTCACTGCAAACTCTGCCTCCTGGATTCAAGCCATTCTCCTGCCTCAGCCTCTTGAGTAGCTAGGATTATAGGCGCCTGCCACCACACCTAGCTAATTTTTTTGTATTTTTAGTAGAGACAGGGTTTCACTATGTTGACCAGGCTGGTCTTGAACCCCTGACCTCAGGTGATCCGCCCACCTCGGCCTCCCATAGTGCTGGGATTAAAGGTATGAGCCACCGCTGCTGGCCGTGTTTGGCTTTTTTCACTGAACATAATATTTTCAAGTTTCATCTACTCCATAGCATGTATCAGTCAGTATTCCATTCCTTTTTTTCCTTCTTTTTTTTTTTTGAGACAGAGTCTTGTTCCGTCACCTAGGCTGGAGTACAGTGGCGCAGCATCGGCCCATTGCAGCTTCTACCTCCCAGGCCCAAGTGATTCTCCCACCTCAGCTTCTCTAGTAGCTGGGACCACAAGCACACACCACCATACTTGGCTAATTTTCTGGTGTTTTTTATTTTTATTTTTATTTTTTGTAGTCACCAGGTCTTACTATATTGCCCAAGCTGGTCGTAAACTCCTGGACTCAAGCGATCCTCCCACCTCGGCCCCCCAAAGTACAGGGATGTTAGGCATGTGAGCCACTAAGCTCAGCTGTGCCCTTTTAAAATATAGACTTTTGAATTTGAGTTAGCATAGTTAGGAGGCAGGAGGATTGCCTGAGGTCAGGAGTTCCAGACCAGCCTGGGCAACATGGTGAAACCCTGTCTGTATCAAAAATACAAAAAAATTAGCTGGGCATGGTGGTGTGTGCCTGTGGTCCTAGCTACTCGGGAGGCTGAGGTGGGAGGATGGCTTGAGCCAGGGAGGTGGAGGCTTCAGTGAGCTGAGATTGTGCCACTGCACTCCAGTCTGGATGACAGAATGAGACTACTATCACACAAAAAAAGAAATTTTTTAAAAATAAATAACTCATTTATAAACATTGTATTGGGGTGTTTATTCTCTCTAAGCCTGTTTTTCTTGATTTGTAATATGGAGATCTGTAATATGATTGCACCTATCACTGAGGACCTGTGTGTTCAATGTATTTTGAACAGGGTGGCTCGTGCAGCCTGTAATCCCAGCACTTTGGGAGGCCTAGGCAGGCAGATCTCTTGAGCTCATGAAGTTCAAGATCATCCTGGGCAACATGGCCAAACCCAGTCTCTACAAAAAATTTAAAAATTAGCTGGGGCCGTGCTCAGTGGCTCGCACCTGTAATCCCAACACGATGGGAGGCTGAGACAGCTGATCACTTGTATTCAGGAGTTTGGGACCAGTCTGCCTAACGTGGCAAAACTCCATCTCTACTTAAAAATAAAAAAAATTGGCCGGGCGCGGTGTCTCACGCCTGTAATTCCAGCACTTTGGGAGGCCGAGGCGGGTGGATCACGAGGTCAAGAGATCGAGACCATTCTGGTCAACACAGTGAAACCCCGTCTCTACTAAAGCTACAAAAAATTAGCTGGGCATGGTGGCGCGTGCCTGTAATCCCAGCTACTCAGGAGGCTGAGGCAGGAGAATTGCCTGAACCCAGGAGGCGGAGGTTGCGGTGAGCCGAGATTGCGCCATTGCACTCCAGCCTGGGTAACAAGAGCGAAACTCTGTCTCAAAAAAATAAATAAATAAATAAATAAAAATAAAAATAAAAATAAAAAAAATTTGGCAGGCGCCTGTAGTCCCAGCTACTCAGGAGGCTGAGGCAGGGAATCGCTTGAACTCGAGAGGGAGGCAGAGGTTGCAGTGAGCCAAGATCATGCCACTGAGCTCTAGCCTGGGCGACAGAGCGAAACTCCGTCTCAGGAAAAAAAAAAAAAAAAAGTTTATCAAGTCTAGTATTACTCTCAGAGCGAGAGAGCAGACTGCCCTGTGCAAAATGAGATCAGCTTTCATTTGGTGTAGTTTGGGTCTTTTTAAAAAATTTTATTTATTTTATTTTTTATTTTATTATATTTGCTTGGGTCTTTTTATGTGTTTTTTTCCTCTTCTCTTTCCAAGGCTGCTTAATTTCTAGCCAGTGTCTGCCTTTTTGATTGATGGGTGTGTTGCTTAGTGCTTTCGTGCTGCCTCCATCCTATAATTTTAAGTACATGCTTGATATTCAGTCCATGTGCATGAGCTTTGATGAGCTAATTATCATACGGGGTCATGATAAGGATACTTTTTCTCTTTGATGGTATGCCTGGTATTTGAGCTATCATTTCACCACTGCACTCCAGCCTAGGTAAAAGTGAAACCCTGTGTCTTAAAAGAAAAGTAGGGACATGCTTCAGAAAAGGTGAATGAGGGTGGGTATGGTGGCTCATGCCTGTAATCTCAAAACTTGGAGAAGCCAAGATGAGAGGATTGCATGAGGCTAGGAGTTCAAGACCAGCCTAATCTCTACACTTTTTTTTTTTGAGATGGAGTGTTATTCTGTCACCCAGGCTGGAGTACAGTGGCACAATCTCGGCTCACTACAGCCTCCACTTCCTGGGTTCCAGTGATTCTCCTGCCTCAGCCTCCCAAGTAGCTGGGATTACAGGCACATGCCACCATGTCTGGCTAATTTTTGTATTTTTAGTAGAAGACAGGGTTTCACCATGTTGGTCAAGCTGGTCTCGAATTCCTGACCTCAGGTGTTCCTCCTGCCTTGGCCTTCCAAAATGCTGGGATTA